TATCCGGGTTTCTCTTATATCCGGGTTACACTGTATATAAAGAATGAAAAGACGTAGAAGAAACAGAAGGAAAACCACTACTCGCAAGAAAAACGACTCTTTCGTGACGGAACAAGTCGCATATTTTCCACTGCCACCAGGGATCAGTTTTCAAATGTATGCCAACATTTTTATTGGCGATTTTCAAGACAAAAAGCCCACTGCATTCATATTGTAGCTCCATGGTCTTCTTCTGCGCATTTACTTAAACTAAACAACTAGAGAACTAGCCTCCTCAAGATACAAATAAACTTATGACGGGTAACAATACCCTACAAAATTCTGAGTATCACCTCATTTATCTATACAAAAATGTAAAATCAAATAAAACAAATGTTCGCCTTTACGTTCCATAATTCATACTCCTGTATATAACTTATCTAAAACTTTAATGCAACTGATCCAAAAGTGCATACCAAATAGATTTTACTAACGAATTTCTTGAACTGAATTTAATAATAATGGTATACTAGTCTTGTTAAATATCGAAAGTGTCTTTATTGATGTCACTGTTAAAGAAACTCTAAGTATAGTAATTTAAAATTTACACAAACCACCTTCGCTCCCACCTTCAACAATAAACCATCAATTCTACGTAAACTTATTATATCCTGTACTATACGAGTACATTGTTATGATCGCTATGATAATATTTACACATAGACGGATGGTGTAACGATGGTGTCACCTCTCTGTCCTACTTTATCGATTTTCTACATGCTTCAATAATGAAACAAAATCTTTAATAATTTTTTCGAACCTATCATGTATGTTCGATGTGTTGGTGTCATGATCATTATTAATGAAACTTAATGAAAAACACAAAGAGAAGAAAAAATCTTCGAGGAAAACTCTATTCTACACTTATGAATTTAATATTAACGATGGGATCCCTTTCCTCGATGTTTTAGTAGCTATTTCGGGACATGGGCGATACTGGCTATCAACAGCTTTTTGTCATTATTGCTCTAAATAATTCTTGCTCTTTTACCATTCCTTGTTTTATCGTGCCGTCCATTCACTCACAATTATCAAGTAGACTATTCATTGTTTTCTGCTTCTTCCTTTGCCTCAATACACCCTGTGGGTGTTTTGTTCTTTATGCCTTCTTTTCTCACTGCGTGTCTCAGGGATTTCAGCTGACGGTTGGCAACAATTTTCCTTGCAGCTCCTATCCTCCTTAAGAAGCTTTCTTGTTTCCTATGTCCTCTGTCCAATTGAGAATACCATTAGTCGATAAAACTACATAGTAATTCCCTATATATAAAAAAAAACATAATTAACATAGACCATATACAATTCAACATATATTGTATATGGTCTATGTTAATTATGTTTTATGAATATGTCCTGAAGATGGTTTATTAGACCGAAACGTCCGACGTTGACATTAAACATTAAAACAGCATAATCGCATATTAGGATTTTTGTTTGTTTTGTTTTTTTTTTTTTTTTTTGTTTTTGTTATTTTTGGTATATTTTTCTTCATAATGTCGGATCTATATCCATATATGTGCTTTACATATATATATATATATATATATGATTAATAGAAATATAAAATTTGTCACTTAGCTGTTTGATGTTATATTCATCACCCCGACTCCAGAGTTTCATATGTGCAATTTTTTTTTGTAATTGTTCGATCCACTCGTCAGAAGGTAACAGATCACATGGCCGAGTGGTTAAAGCATTCGCTTTCTGGGCGTGAAACCTGTGGATGTTTAGTCAGGGAGCTGCCCTTCTAATGTTATCGGCCAGGGGAAGCGAATCTAATGCGCGGTACCATTGGAACGTGCCTGAAAAAAAAAAAACCATACCATGGGTTGACCCAAACCTTGTGAGTACAACTGGATAGACAGAACTAATATTTCGGAAGACGTCGATGGCTGTGTTCGCATGTAAGTCACCAAGGGTTTCGGAGTACTGGCCTTGTTCAAAATATTCATCATACTAGATTGTTCTCTCTCTCTCTCTCTCTCTCTCTCTCTCTCTCTCTCTCTCTCTCAGACACTGTAAGTAAGGTATGCTCAGCATAGTTGCACTATAAACAACAGAGCAGGCGTCTGTAATAGAGCTGGCCTCCCTGGGAGATGTGTTCGGAAACTTAGTAACCAGTCATTATATATATATATATATATATATATATATATATATATATATATATATATATATATATATATATATATGGTTCCATCGCTACACAGGAATTACCATCTGTTTCAAAAACAGAAGCTACAAACTTCAAATTCAATTATAGAATTAACTTAAATTAAAGTCCCTAGTTCTGTTTCATTTTTTGCTTGAAAAACATATTTTTAAATAAGTAAATTTATATTTATGCTCTGTAGATTTGCATTGACCACTGCTTTTTAAAATAAAAATATTAATAAGAACACCGGATTATATATCTTACTGTTCTTTTTCTTTATTATATATATATATATATATATATATATATATATATATATATATATATATATATATATATATATATATGCATTGTATATATATGTGTATTGTATATATGCATATTAATGCAGGTCGATTTCGGAACCATGATATTGCACTCAACTGAAAAGTTGGAAGTTTATATGATAAACCTTGTTGCAGAAAATCTTATTTGAAGTCGTTACTTTTTTTTGAGGAAATGAGTTTAAATGTTAAATTTAGGTTCAAAATCATAGCGTTGGAATTTCATTCTGGTGATTAGTGAAAGCTTTATCGCACAGCCTTATAAAATTAATAATTTACTGAGACTTTACAAATTGTATATGGACGAAATTCATGTCACAGTCATATTATTATTAAATCGTTGTGCTCTCAAATAAGACCTTCACCTAATTCATAGGGAAATTATACTAAACAATTTAGCTATATTGTGATGTAATATATTACACAGTGCAGTAGTTTTAGTGTGATTTTCAATAAAGAATACAAATTTAAAACATTTTGTCATATAATTTGTGCCCAGCAGTATTATGGTGTTATATACACTTTTATCTATTTTTGTTTTTATTAATTATCATCTAACAAATGAACTAACAAATCTTATTCATTGAGTATCCATTTTTGTAATCTTTTACAATTTTTTACATAGTTTTTACTTATCGAATACAGTAAAAAAAATACCATAATTTGCTTGTGGTGATTCATAATTAGAATTCTAGTTTGAATATATTTTTCATTCAATGTGTCTAATACAAAAGATATTAAATTTATTTGGATTTATGATTAAAATAGGAAAAAAATTGATGTAAGTTTACAAACAAAAACCTGTGAAAATTAGATATTTCTGTACATTTTTCAAACATTAAAAACTAAATGCTCAAACATTGGTGAAAGCTATGAATCTAATTTTTGATGTAACTACTTATCACATCAAACTCCAGCTTTCACATCGAATGCAATGTTGATTTTCTAAAAAGGAGAAAAATCAACCTACGCTAATGCATGTGTAAACAATATATATATATGTACATATATATGTAAATATATATAAAAAATTTCGTATCAATATGGAAAATTGTAAACAATTGATATAATTTATTACATGGAATCTTAAAGTGGTCTGTTTTTATTTAAATTATTTGATCTGGATTTACATTGAGCTCTCTGGATTTTATCCTCCTTAGGTTTACCCATACGGATTACCTAGTTTTTCCTAAACTATATATTAAACAATATATATATATATATATATATATATATATATATATATATATATATATATATATATATATGAGAACGATAAATGAGGGTCAGCATTGGATGGTGCTTTCGTTTTACACTTCTGCAAGCTAGCAGGGGTTATTGTGGTGGAGAACATCAGGTAAGCGAAAGACATATTTAATTTCTACTTTCTTAAGTGCGATACGAGCCCAGCCTTGCTGCAGGTGACAAAGCCACACTGACAGAGGAAATTTGTTAAAGCCGGATTTTGATGGCGTCTCTGCATCTGAGCTTGACGAAGCTGATCGTGGCGCTTCAATCTACTGTCTTCAAAACCCTTTATCTTAATGAAACATGACTTACGCCACTCCTTTCGGTTTGATGCTTGGGCTTCCCAGGTTTTCAGATCACACTTGAGACGTTTCAAGTTGTCTTTCAATTTGTCTTTGTAGCGTAAGAGTGGACGTCCAACTGAACGCTTGGAGTTTGATTATTGTCCATACAGCACCTTTTTTGGATTCCTATGCTCATCCATTCCCATAACATGACCAGCCCACCTAAGTTGTATCTTTGCTAGAATGTTTTCAATATCTGGGATGTCACATTTCTTTAGTATTGTACTAGTCTTATATATATATATATATATATATATATATATATATGTGTGTGTGTGTGTGTGTGTGTGTGTGTGTGTGTGTGTGTGTGCATATTGGGTGGGTTGAGGAGAATGGTATTTATATTGAAAGTCAAAGAATTGTTGCCTGAAAACAAAAGAGAACTAGAATTTAGAAAAAGTGTAACGAAAATGTAGATAAGAATTGAATTGTAAAAACATTTATGTTGAACCTGAAATAAAGAAAAGAAGGCTTTTAAATGAAGGCAAAAGAACGGAATCTGAAAGATAATGAAACAATGTGGAGTAAAATAATGGAAATATACGAAAAATGGATAAAGGAATTTTAAACAAGAAATGTAATTTTCAAAAGAAGATCCATCAGTAAGCCTGGAATAGGAAATGCTTTTTTATTAATCATTTATAACTCTACATATCTATGACTGAAAGACACACATGTATCTCTATGTACACGTTTTTATATTTTACGTGTCTGTCTCACGTTGTGTGTGTTTGGGTGTGTGTGTTGATGTCTGTGTATTTTGCCAAAGGATAACATCTGACAACAATGAAAAAAAAAAGTTTCAATATTAGCAATTTGGCGATTTATGTTGAAATAAGCAAGTGTTTTTTTTTTTAAATAAATGTTACAAAATCTAATGAAAAAGACAAGAGGTTAAGAAAGAAAGAATGTAATAAATAGAATATAATTAAAGAAAGAAAGAAACAAAGTAGGTGTATGTAAAAAAGCCATATAAGAAAGAAAGGAAGAAAGAAAGAAAGAAAGAAAGAAAGAATTAAACAAACAATATGAAATATAGAAAGCCAAAGAAGAAAGAAAGAAAAAAGAATATAAGAAATACAATATAAAGAAAATAAAAACAAACAATAAAACTATAGAGTGCTAGAAAAGAAAGAAAGAACATAAATAAAACGTAAAAAAATAAAGAAAGAAAGAAGCCAACAAAGAAACGAACAAAAATGTGAAACGTAGAAAGTCAAAGAAAGAAAGAATGAAAGAAAGAATGAAAGAAAGAAAGAAACAAAAAACGAACGAACGAACGAACGAAGGAAAAAAGAAAAAGTAAGAAAGAATGGAAGAAATAAAACGTAAAGAATGAAAGGAAAAAGAACAAACAATAGCAAATGTAGAGAGGCAAAAAAGAAAGAAAAAAGGAAGAGGAAACAGCAAATATAGAAATCCAGAGAAAAAAAGAAAGAATATAGAATATAAGATAGAGCGAAAGAAGCTAAGAAGTAAGATGGAAAAGAAAGAAAGAAAGAAGCAAACAAACAAAAGAATAGGAAATATAGAAAGACAGAATAGAATGAAAGATAAGTAATACAATCTAAAAAGGAAAGAAAGAAACAGACAAGAAAAAGAAAAAAAACAAGAACAGAAAATATAGAAAGACAGAGAAGAAAGAAAGAATGAAAGACAGAAAGAAAAATGTTTAGAAAAGAAACAGATAGAAATAAATCATTGGGATAAATAGGGGCTAAAAGTTAATAGGTGGGCTTCAAGAAAGATTCCAATGTGAGTTAAAGAACTAAATAACGGTAAGAAAAACAAATAGATAGATAGATAGATAGATAGATAGAAGAATGAATCACGAGTAAAAAGAAAGAGAGAGAGACTATAAACTTGAAACAACGAAACGATGTAATACACTTAGTTAAAGTGTGAAAAATGAAAATGAAAGAAAACAGAAAGGAAAGTAAGAGGCAAAAGAATGGGGGGGAGTGTAAAATAATGAAAAGAGAAATAATTATGAAAGAAATAAAAGCATGCTGATAAAATATATAAAAGCAAACGCTAAGAAAAATGAATCACTGTGCATCAATGGGAAACAAAATGAACGTGCCTGAGATGAAAATAGTAGAAAGAAAAAAATAACAGAGAGAGAGGGGGAGGGAGAGAGAGATATAGAGAGAGAAAGAGAGGGAGAGAGAAAGAGAAAGAGAGAGAGAGAGAGAGGAGTGAAGAAAAACAGAAAGGGAGATAGATTAAAACAAAGAGAGAAAGAACAGCTGAAACGTCCGAGATAAATAAAAAAAAAGAAAAGAAAAGAAAGAAAGAAAGAAAGAAAGAAAAAGTAAAAAGAGAGGAAGATATATGTCTAAAAATTAAAGAAAGAAAAGATATTGTAAGGAGAATTATACGATAGAAATGAAGAAAGAAAGATATGATTAAAAAAAAGAAATCGAAGAAACTAAACTAAACTAAATAAGTAAAAGGAAAAAAAAAAAAAAAAAAAAGAACAGACACAAAATAAATGCGAGAAACAGTGAAATTCAAACAAAAAGAAATTCGAAAAAAAAAACAAAAAACTACTGATAAAATTTTAAAAAAAATGAAGGTAAGCTCTTTTGAATTTTCGATTTGAATTTTAGCGAACAAACAGACGTCATGGGAAAAAATGACAAATTGAAAAAAGCGATAAGTTGCGGAATGCTATTGAAAGGTTCACAAAGCATTTAATTATTTTTCGTTCAGCTTTACTTTCTTACTTTTTACATATCAAAAGTGCAACAGATGTCGTTGATAAATCCTTTTGAAGGCCGCCTTCAGACCGGATACGCATATATAAATCTACACTCTGTAGTGGTACACATGCTCATATATGTACGCATGCTCACTGGCTATAAAAAAAAATCTGATAAACATTTACACTTTACTTTTAGACAGTGAATACAAAATTCACTTTTCCTTAAGTGAATTTGAACGCCGACCATTGTCCCAAATATACTCGCTATTTGTACCCAAAGGTATTTTTGCACGCACTTGAGCACACACATACATACATATACACATACACACACATGTAGTTATTCTATGTTTAATTTGATTATACTTTTGTTGTTCTAAGAAAGCTATCTCTAAATTTTCCAATGCCAATTTCTGTCTTGATGTCGATTCTTGAAAAAAATCAGTAGTTACGACGCAAAACGGGCAGCACATCGATGAGTGAGGTATTCGGCACATTATCAGAAAATTTTTCGGAAATGGTTGCAGGGCAAATTCTTCAAATGGAACCGAAGATATCAAGTCATAAATTGATGGGTTTTAACAAATTATTTAACCTTTGAAAGGAGAGGCAGAGTGTGTGCATGTTATAGATAGATAGAGAGGGGGGGAGAAAGAGAAAGAAAGAGAAAGAGAAAGAAAGCAACAAACAAACGGTGGAGTAATGGATCGCGGCTCGGATTGAGGAATCGGCGAGCCGGGTTCGAATTCCTGTCGAATCTATTACATTCACTTACGTGCTAATAACCTTCGGAAAGTTATGAATCCTCTTCTTCTCCTTCTAGCTATGGGCAGACCGGGTTCTATAGCCTTGGATGGAAACTAGTCTACTGCAGAAAAAAGCGTGGGAAAATCTCCCTCGTCAGTCCTACATCGAAAGATACATGATCGCCTAATTGTGTATCACGCATGGCACATAACTGAGAAAGAGAGAGAGAGAAAGACTAAGAGACGATGAGAGAGAGAGAGTGGTGTTCATAATATTTTGGCTCCTCGGTATATAATAATAATAATAATAATAATAATATTTTAATCTAGTTCAACACAACCACAACAATCGGTTTTCAGCTATATCTGGAAACTATAGAAGATTGGATGATGATATGTGTCAAAGGACGTGAAAGAAATAAGAAACTTTATTCTATAATAAAGGAAGCCAACAAATTCAAAAGGGAGTTTCGAGTGAAGAAATGGAAATAAACCACAATATACCTACTGCAGCGGCAAAGGACCTAAAAATGGTAGCAAAAGTAAATTCAACGTATCAAATGCAGAAACGATAACAAGATAAGACTCTTCATGGTCAATTCTCTGCCCGTACCAAACAAGCTGATGTAGACAGAACCCGTAACTTTGTTTGCACATCTAACTTTTTTAATGTTTATTTAGCATTTTTGTTCCAGCCAACTAAAAAAAAAAACCTGAAAGTGGTTGTAATTCGTTTAATAAAGTTTTTTTTTTTCTTAATGAATATATAGTTTTATTAAGATTTGTTGATTATCTAGAAAAAAGAGACAATTTTTAAAAATATTATCTCAGGGTTTAATTTACTTTTGCGCAGCACTCTCTCTCTCTCTCGCTCTCTCTCTTTCTCAATCACTCATCCTCTCGCTCTTTCTATATAAAATAATATAATCACGATCCAATTCATCATACCTACAAATTCAAAAAGAAATGAATTTTTAGCTCTGATGGATTGGATCGTGATTACTATTCCAATGTAATAAATTATAACCATGGAATATTAGTGTTTGAGCCTTTTATATTATATTCTTACTCTGTCCTGGACATTGAGTTCTACCTGGATTCTGTTCTCTTGGAAATTTAATATATATCTATATATATATATATATATATATATATATGTGTGTGTGTGTGTGTGTGTGTGTGTGTGTGTGTGTGTGTGTGTGTGTGACATCGTCCCCCGGTCGCAGCGCCGACTGTGACGTTCTATCCTGATCTACCACGGCACCAGTTGTGACGTCCTCGCCGCGGCGCCAGATGTTCGCTCCTCGCTGCTCCGTTCGGGTGTCGCTGCTTCAAACGTGACGTCCGCCTGTCGCGTCAGTCGTGTTGTCTCGTCCTATGACGACCAACTGGCTTGGTATCGGTCGCGGCACCCAAATGTGACGTTCTAACCTCTTGGTGATTCGGGTGGGAATCTGGTTAGATTTGATATCAGCCTCGCCGTTCCCAACTCGCTTCCAACGCCTGGTTACCAAGGTAACTGCATTGATCTCCAGTCCGCCTACCCACGTTGTGAATTGATCTTAGGCAGACGAGATCAAACAGTGGTTGGGGCCGTAATGCAAGCTGAGTTCAACGGGGGTGATACTACACAAATATGCATAAAAGAAAAGAAAATGAAAACTCAAAAAGTTCAAAGTATCAAAGAAAAAGGTAACAAACTTTATGTCTAGTTGTTCGATACATAGGACTGCATCTATCTCCCGACCCGTTCTGTGGATTGTGACACGTCGTTTCCGCTAGGCAAGTTTCAACGCTTCAAGTTGTTTGCTCTCTAAGAAATTAGTGTTTCGGTGTGTCTTTGGACGAATGTCGAAAAACTTATTTCGGTGGTCTGGTTCTAAGTCGCTCTTCAAAATAATTGTTTTGGGGTTGAAGAGGAGTCCTAAATTTGCGTGAATCTTGGTCAGCTATCTCGAGGCGGCTTCAACTCTGGAAACTCAACTCTCTGCTGGAGCCCGAACTGATTTCTGCCTGTTGGGGTCTCGCTTTTATTGACGCCGACCAAAACCGGGGTGGGTCTGTTGGCGCCTTGTCCTCGATAATTCTAAATACATATCCACCTCTTTTATTTCTGGTTAGGGATTTTCCACTCTTTTCCATTTTTGGGAACCTTTCCTCACTCCCACTTTCTCACCATACTTCTGAGGGGCGTGAACTGCCCTCCCCACTTCTTCGTAGCAGCTTCTCATACTTATACTCTGGATGGGGCGTCGACAGCCTTCTTCGTGAGTCACGTGATCACTCTCGGCCAATGAGGTCTTGGTCGGGTATCTTTCCTCCTCCTTCGTGCGTCACGTGATCACCACTTGACCAATGATGTCTTAGTCGGGCGTGAACAATCCGCGGCTTTGTTTCGGGAAAAAAATATCTTGCTTAACTAAAAAAAATTATCTCTTCTCTTTCCCTTTTCTTCCTTTCAATCGCCGTTATCACCCTTCTAGTCGCAACGGACAATATGACAACTCTTGTTTTACACGTGGTGTTTGTCAGGTATTTTATCGCTAATTTATCAAGATGGGTGGTCTTCTTAACATGGCTTCAAAAAAAGAAATATCCCCAAAGTTTTCAGTCAGTCTGTCGCCTCCAAGGAAGAAAAAAAATCACTTCTGGGACCCATTCATTTTCCTTCGGTACATATTCCTGATAACATAATTTTATTATCGCAGGCCAAAGAATTCGGTCAGCGGGACTGCTTGTGTGGGATTTAATTTTTCATATCTGTCCAAAGTCCTTTTTAGTGGCCTGTTTCTCGTCACTTATCGAAATAGCGTTTTCACTTGAATTTTTCCCTGGCCAGTGGTCCAGCCGTTCGTTTACGCACCTAGATAACACAGCCGTTATCAAAACACATCTGATTCCTTCTTTCTTTCCCTTTCTTTTTTACTCAGAAATTCCCTGTCATTGTAATGACACCCTTTTTCATTTGTTACTTATCAATATTTTCATTGTCTCTTAGCCGTGTGTGTGGCTGCTTATCACCTACGATTCGTCTCGCCTTTCTTTTGCCTTCTTTTCTTTCTCTTCCTTTCTCTGCCTCGTAAATGGTGCCACACACACACACACACACACACATATATATATATATATATATATATATATATATATATATATATATATAGTAGTATATATATATATATATATATATATATATATATATATATATATATATATATATATGATTCAAAAGCAAGAAAAGAAACAATACATGACGATGAAAAAAAGGATTGTCTCGGAATTGGCATTGTTTATTACGTGATCTTTCCCAAAATCAGATGTTGAATTCAGAGATGTACAGTTTCCACTTGGGTCGATTAAAAGCAGGAGTCCATGAATTGGCGTCCGAAATTGAAAGGGTGTTGTTATCTTCTATCAAGACAATACCAGAGCTCACGTCTTTTTTGTAGACCCAAAAGAAATTGAAACAAATTGGTCGCGATGCTACAAACATCGTACACACATGTCTTTATGTAAAATAAGTGGCTTCGAATTTATTGATTTTATTATATATATATATATATATATATATATATAGCTAAGCTCGAAATCTACTGATATATATATATTTATATGACAGCTGTCAACTCCTTAGATGAGTAAGACCATTGTTGACAAACAATTCCTGTGCTGAGGTCATAGATGTGTATGTCATGCACAACACCGTAACGATTAACAGTGTTAAGAATTCCAGAGACAAACACATAGGAGATATTCGAATTACCACTGAACTTGGTGTTGCATTAGAATTATCCTTCTCATAGACAGGTTGCCAACCAAGGTTGAAGAGCAAAGTCTGTTCTAACATTTAACCCATAAGTAGGCGAAGGGGAGAAGTCAAGAATTGGATTCGTACTTTTTCATAGGTATTTCGGCATAACTCTCTCTCTCTCTTTCTCTCTCTCTCTCTCTCTCTCTCTCTCTCTCTCTATATATATATATATATATATATATATATATATATATACATATATACACACACTTTATAAATTAACTGGTTTAAAATATGGTTTTTTCGCTACACAGTAATATTACATTGAGCACTCTTTTGTACAAATAAAAATAAAAAATATCAATAAGAACACCGGATTACTGTTCTTTCTTTTTTATATATATATATATATATATATATATATATATATATATATATATATTTTCATTTCAGCTTTTGGAAGTAAAAGTCTGATGATGCAGAACCCTGTTAAAGGGGTTATGGTGAAATAGCTTATTACATGGAATCTTAACGTGGTCTGTCTTTTATTCAAACAAATATATATATATATATATATATATATATATATATATATATATATATATATATATATGGGGAGAGGGAGGATTGACGGGTGTTTGTAGATACAATCACTAATTATGTTGACTGTTTCTTCAACTGGGACGTTGGTAAAAATAGTTTTCAACATTGAGGGAAGATAGTGTACTATCTGTGGGATACCTTTTAAGATATGGAGGAATCCAGTTATTCATACGATGCTGTAACTGTTGGGTGTGTATGTAGAAATTATGTCATTGACGTTCTGTTGTGCTCATTGTATTTTGGGGAATACCCTTGTAGTTTTGAATTTCAATTTTAAGAGGTTTTACATTCTCTTTGTCGTTCCATGAGTATTTTTTTCCGTGATCAACATGCGAAGGCTTGGAATAAACACTCCTATTGAAAAAATTATTGAAATATTTTTATATATATATATATATATATATATATATATACGATTGCGCCTAACATGAAACAACCTGTCGCCTCTGAGTGTTGACTTCAATGTCCACTTTTATATTTATATTTACATACGCTATATCTCTGATATTGAGCACTTTATCCCCTAAATATAGGACAGCTTAAAACTACATTTCTTCAGAAATATATATATATATATATATATATATATATATATATATATATATACTGACAAGGAACTTCTAAAAAAGTTAAGCAGAGTAATAATTATTATGAAATTTTCATTGAAAACAAAGAAAACACTTACAGAAGGCCCTCAGGTTACGTCGGACTCGATGTATGGCGTTTCGTTGTTACAGCGCCATCTCACATAATACAAAAAGGGTCATCACAAAACGCTATCTGAGAAAGAGAAGGCTTTTTTCTTCACCGGCTGTACGCCATACTGGATTATGTTACATTCACTATCTCTTTTGTTTGTGTCGTTTTTTTTTTGCGAGGGGGGGGGATTTTTGGCCCTTCATTATGCCTCCCAGGCATAA